TGAGATATTGTAGATGTTAAAAAATAATTTTTTTTGCCAAAAATTAACAGAGTCATAAAAGCCAAAGATCCCACTCTTCTGACGGTATATATATATATATATATATATATATATATATATATATAGAGAGAGAGAGGAGAGAGAGAGAGAGATGTGCCTGTGTGACTTGTATGTGTGCTATATAATAATCGTTATGGTTCGATTTTTACTACTAAGGAATAATTAAATGATATGAATGGTAATGAAAATTTAAGATAAAAATAGTATTATAAATAATATTATAAATAATGATTTTGATTTTGATTTTGATTATTCACTTTTTTTCTCTTTCTAAAGTTCCCTTGACCTACGATCGAACTCTTGAAGGCGACAACCAAGATTTATTGGTGGGATTATTATTATTTTTTTTATTATTATTATTATTTAATTACAATTTATTATTATTATCGTTAGTCATAGTAAAATCAACAGTAAAGCTAGAAGTTGTAGTAGTTGTGGCAGCAGCAGCATCAGTAGTAGTAGTAGTAGTAGTAGTAATAGTAGTAGTAGTAGTAGTAGTAGTAGTAGTAGTAATAGTAGTAGTAGTAATAGTATTAGCAGTAGTAGTAATAGTAGCAGTAGTAGTAGTATTACTAATATTACATCTGTCTGCCAATTTTACATCTGTGGCAGCAGCAGCAGCATCAGTAGTAGTAGTAGTAATAGTAGTAGTAGTAGTAGTAGTAGTAGTAGTAATAGTAGTAGTAGTAATAGTATTAGCAGTAGTAGTAATAGTAGCAGTAGTAGTAGTATTACTAATATTACATCTGTCTGCCAATTTTACATCTGTGGCAGCAGCAGCAGCATCAGTAGTAGTAGTAGTAATAGTAGTAGTAGTAGTAGTAGTAGTAGTATTAGTAGTAGTAGTAGTAATAGTATTAGCAGTAGTAGTAATAGTAGCAGTAGTAGTAGTATTACTAATATTACATCTGTCTGCCAATTTTACTCCATATTCAGAACAAGAAAATTGGCCATAACAATAATAATAACAATAATAATAACAATAATAATAACAATAATAATAATAATAATAAATACAATGGTACTGGTACGTACGAATCAGCACAATCCGTAAGTTCTTTTCGTGTATTCCTTTTTTCTCCCCATTTCAATATGATGAAACATCATCATCATCATCATCTTAGTGGCAATACCATTCATGAATAAGATGATGAAGGATCATTTTGACGTTAATCATAAATAATAATGACATTAATAATAATAAATAGTGATAATAAATAATAATAATAATAATAATAATAAATAATAATAATAATAATAAATAATAATAATAATAATAAATAATAATAATAACAGCCCCAGGCAGGCACATCAAAAAGTGCCCTTGAAAACTATAAAGCCGACGATGACGACGACGATGATGATGTTGAAGAAGATAGCAATAATTATTATTATAGTAATAAAAATAATAATTCTAATAAATATAATTACGGCGATGATGATGATGATGATGATGATGATGGGGGTGGTGCTGATGGTGATGAGGATCAGGTCGCTGTTACAATTTCGTACGTCAGATTGACGTCTGGATCGCCTATCTTGGATGATGAAAAAGTGTGTGTGTGTACGTGTTTATATGTGTGTGTGTGTGTTTATATGTGTGTGTGTGTTTAGATGTGTGTGAGTGTGTTTAGATGTGTGTGTGTGTGTGTGTGTGTGTGTTTAGAGGTGTGTGTACTTGTTTATATGTGTGTGTGCTTAGATGTGTGCGTGCTCGTGTTTATATGTGTGTGTGTTCATTTTTGTGTGTGTTCGTTTGTGTGGACGTATGTAGTCTGTGTTTCCAAATTGTTTCCAAATATATGTGGGTGTGTGTCTTTGTGTCTTTTAACTTTGCGTTTGTGTGTGTTTTTGTGGATGTGTATGTAAGATTTTAGATATGTGTGATTGTATCTTTGTAGCTATGTTTCTGTATGTTTTTAAATATGTACGTATACACTCACACACACGCACGCACACACGCACACACATGCATGCACACACACACGTACAACTTGAAGGTACAGATGTTATACGTGGCGTACGAGTTCATTGGCGCCCCGCCAGAGGAAACGGAAGCTCCACATTCTCTGCCCAAGCCCTCTCGACCCGATCAAAAGATTAATTTTAATTTCACCAAAGGTTCTTGTTGTTGTTGTTGTTGTCGCCAGTAGCAGCGGAAGTCGTAATAAGAGTGATGGTAGTAGAAACACCAGTTATAATAGCAGTAGTAGTAGTTGTAGTAGCAGTAGTAGTAGTTGTAGTAGTAGTAGTTGTTGTTGTAGTAGTAGTATTAGTAGTAGTAGTAGTAGTTGTAGTAGTAGTAGTAGTAGTTGTTGTTGTTGTAGTAGTAGTATTAGTAGTAGTAGTAGTAGTAGTAGTAGTAGTAGTAGTAGTAGTTAGTTGTAGTAGTAGTAATAGTAGTAGTGGTCATAGTAGTAGTAGTCGTATAGTAGTAAAGTAGTAGTAGTAGTTGTAGTAGTAGTATTAGTAGTAGTAGTAGTAGTAGTAGTAGTAGTAGTAGTAGTAGTAGTAGTAGTAGTAATAGTAGTAGTGGTAGTAGTAGTAGTAATCGTAATAGTAGTAAAGTAGTAGTAGTAGTAGTAGTAGTTAGTAGTAGTAGTAATAGTATTTTTATTTTTGCAAACGTTCAAGTTTTCAAAGTGGACAAAGAGACGAATTCTTTGAGAAGAAAAAATTTGGAAGACATGATGGCCGATGGTCACCCAAGCCAAGGAAGGTAACCAATCAATTAATCAATCAATCAATCAATCAATCAATCAATCAATCAATCAATCAATCAATCAATCAATATCAATCAATCAATCAGTCAGTCAG